TTGTTGTTGTTGTTGTTGCTGCTGTTGTTGCTGTTGTTGTTGTTGTTGTTGCTGTTGCTGTTGTTGCAGATAATGATGATGATGATGATGATAATCATTTCAGACAGTCAGCCAGATGAAAGGCTGTAAATGTGAAAACTGCTAACGCAGAACCGACGGATAGTGAATAGTATAAGTGTGAAAAACTTTTGATAAAAAAAATTAAATTTTTTACTTGACATTCTACTTTGATCACATTCTAATCGAAATTCACAACTCTATCACTCACACGTTAAGCACATACTTTCCAACTGTTGTCCGCGCAATAAGTGAGAACAACTGAAGTTTTTTTTTGGTTACTGCTGTTGAAAAATCAACTACAAGAAGCCAAGAGCAATTGATAATCATTAATTATACAAGTCAGAAACGTCTTCATTAATTTGCTTGATGATACAGTCTGGACTAATATAGCTATCGTTGATTATGACATTTCCATTCTACCTGCACAAGATTTAACACGTAGTTTTGTCACTGTTGTTTCAGCGCTGTCTGCTCTTTGTAGGGCATCATCGAGCTGGTATTGGAGTTGGCGATATTTTTGTAAATTTATACCAGCAAGTTCCTCCTGAAATTGTAAAAATGTTGATTAATTAGATCGTTTTCCATCCCAGTGATCAACTGCTTTTGTGTCAGCTGATGTAGTACCTAATATCCTAATATCATCAATCCTTAGATGTAGTATGTGTATTTTTGAGTCGCGTGCAACATGACGAGAAAATAATTACTGTAATTTTTTCAAACAAAACTAGTTTTCATCTAAATGAGTTATACTGTTCATCTCACTTTAAAACGCCTGTCTCAAATTTAATTTGACATAATGCCTTCTTTTCCGTGCTGAAAATACTTTGAGCAAATGCAGGCTTTGTGCACTCACTTTCCAGCCTTCTGAATTTAGCTTTTGCTCTTTTGCAGTTTGCAGCTTGGTAATTTTCACGATTGCTCTGTCGTCTTACTAAACTGTCATAATTGAAAAGTGGAAATATTGGGTTTAGTTGAGCTTGTTTAAAGGAGAAACTGCTGTAGGCATCTATATAGACAAATTATGTAAGCAGACAAAAGGAATTGAAAGAACAAGCGTTCAAGTCCCTGCAAAATCACTTTAAAGTTTTTTTGCTTTTTGCTCACATTCAATTTAACAAAACATCTACGACTATGTTTTCAACGTTGATAGTTCACCTACCAGCCGAGCGCCTTTCCCGAGTGTTTAGACTAATTGCTGTTTGAAAAGTGAAGCATTAATGGGGCTTAAAAGTTCTCCTCAGCAGATATCAATGGTGGCAGCGGGTGCAGTAGCAATGCTGCCAATAGCACCGCTGTTAGCTGGGGTTCAGCAGAGTTTTGTCCGAAAAGTTTCCCGTTGTTAATGCTTGCCACAAAAACTTAACAAAACTTCGCTTTTTCCTCATAGTTTTTTCACTTTTTATTTCATTTTTCTTCTTTGTCAAACATTCTAAAATTTTTGCTACTACTTTCATTTGAGAAAAACAAGAAGCTGTTTAATTCACCACCATTTGACTGACTCTACGTGCACAAAGAAGCAACTTTACTAACTAGTTATTAAACACTTAAAATTTTAGCTACTTTTTTTTGTTATTTTCTTTACAGTTACAGAAATTCGTGAAAAAGAAGAAAAGTGAAAAAGAAAAAAATTTTTAAAGTTTGAAGAACAGTAAATGCAAAAAAAAATAGAAAAACAATGATTTTGTTAAAGAATGAAATAACCTGTAACAGCTACCTTAAGTGTAACTGTAATTACTAATTGGTTGAACAAAAACTGGAGAAATTTTGAAGTGAAAAAAACCTGAAAAAATTTTTATCTAGAAATCGAGAAACAAAAAAACCGTTTTTTTCTTCTGCTTCAATGTTAATCTGTCTTTTTTTTAGTGTGTTATGGCAAGCAATCAAACGGTGCTAAATAGTTGAACTCAAAAACCCAAATTATTCAAAAGGCAGAGACCTGAAATTTTGTTATTTTCTACAAAAAAACTTCTTTTTTCTTAAAGAAAGCTTTCAGAAAAAAAAAGAGAAATGAAGAATGAGAAATGAAGAGGGGGTGAGAGAAGAGGAGAATAGAATGAAAATAAGAAGAAAAATATTGAATAAATTCTCAAAATTCCTAGCCGCATAGCTACAGCTGAACTGATACACAGAGACGCATTTCTTGAAACTCAGTAAACGGTGCTGAGAATGCATGGTCACTAGCTGTATCCCACGTAATGATGTAATTACTTTTTTGATTCTGTGTAAGAGGTCTATAATGCTAAAGCAGAGTGCTGAGGCGCTTGATATTATGAAAAAAAGAAAAATCGCAGAAACGAACCGCCTGATCCAGCTGTCGTTTCTGTGCCTCGATCTTATTTTGAAGTCGCTCAGTGAGATCCTGCATACGTTCAAAATTTTTTTTGTCTTCATCGACCTGGAATTCCAGTTCCCGTACTCTTCGTTCTGTTTTGACTGCGCTTTTGTTAATATCTTGACATTTATGCTGTTCTGCATCTAATGCAGTTTCCAGCGCTCTAAGTCTGTCTTCCAGTTTGGCAATAGTTTTTTTACCAGCTTTTGACATACTCTGTTCAGACTCTTCCAAACGGCCCTAAATATCCTGGATAATAAGTTAAATACAACGATAGCAATAACACTTTTTTTATGTACAAAACAAGTATTTACCTTTGCTAAAGAGAAATTGACAGATTAAGTGCGAAGATGTTAGATGAGAGAATTTAACTTTTTATTCTTGCCTGTAGTTCCCTGACTTGCTGTTCTAAATTTTTACGAAATTTTTCCACATGCAAATTGTGCTCCTGCTGTTGACGCAATTCATCGGCAATTCTGTTGACTTCAGCAGTTGCTTTCTTACAGCGTTCTTTGGAGGCTCGAAACTCTCGTAAAGTTTCTTCATAATCAGCATGAAGCATCTATAACAGTGAAAATAACAGTGACATCCTGGTCAAGCAGCAAAACCTAACCGGTGAAAATTCGTTATATGTAGAGTAGCTAAAAATACAAAGTAGGAATAGTCAATTAAATATTTTATTCACCTGGAGTTCAGATTCAGATTTCCTTTTTGCTGCATTAAGGTTACTTGTTCGAGTAATCAGCTCATTTACAGTTTCACGTGATTCAGCAGCTACAGTTTCAGCATCACGACAGGCCTGTTCAATCTTTTCAAGCATCAAAATTTCTTCGCTTTTCTCCACCTCCAAAAGCTTAACCCTTTTTTCTGCACTAAAGTATTGCTCTCGTAGTTCGTCACGCTCCTTCTGCTCTTCGTCAACCTAGATCAGATTGGTTTATCCATTGAGACATTCATCTTCCCCTGAATGACATCCGCACAACCTCACTGCAAATTGAATATTACTTTTATTTGAGCTTCTTGTATTTGTTCGACGCACTTCCTTAAAGTTCTTTGAATATCGACATTTGCTTTGTTTGCATGGTCTAAATTAAGCTCTAGTTCATTGATATCTGACTCGAGCGATTTCTTGACTTTCAACAACTCTGTCTTCCCTTTGGTTTCTGCATCTAGCGAAGCCTGCATTGATTCCAATGCTTTTTGATGATTACTGCGAACACTTTGAAATTCTTCCTCTTTTTCCTGCAGTCGTTTTTCAACTTCTGATCTGATTTGAGACACTTCAAATTGAGCTCGAATAGTTTTACTCTCTTCTGCTTCCAATGCATCTGGAAAATGATTGTTGGCAATAGTTTACTGAGGCAAGATCATGAAAAAAATTGCTATCGTATGACAATTAGAGACTTTCTGCCTTATCCAGTGAACGTTGTAGTTCATTCTTCTCCACCTCTAGCCGATACACAGCTTTTTGCATTTCGTGCTGTGAACGGCCGCCGTCATCCAGTTGGCCTGTAAGCTCCTTGATTTCGTCAGCTAAGGAGTTGTTCTCACGACGTAAAGTCTCTACGGTTTCACGCATTTCGTCGTTAGTAGTTTTCGTCTTGGAAAGTTCTGTCAATAAATTTCGACCTTCAGTTCGTATGGCTTCCAACTCATTGTTCAAATCGTTACTTTTTTTTTTCCATTCTTCAATAACCTAGACCATACTACTTATGGTAACAAAGTCTACCTACGCAGTTTTTTTCAAAAAAAGCTTGTTTACTTGAGATGTAGTTGGCTTTTGGCAAATTTCTGGCCTTATGAACAAATCACTGGTCTGATAAATGAAAAACATTTCGTGCTTATTTGAAGAAACACTCCATTTTTGAAATTTTCGAGAAATAAAAGAAAAGACTTACACTTCCCGCGTTGCGTTCTTTCTTCTCTAAATGTGCGACTAAATTTTTGGCCGTTTCAACAGTGGTTTGTGCATTATCAAGATCACCCATCAAACGCACCTTCACCTTTTCTAGCGTTACAATTTTTTGGCTTGCTGTTTCTAAGGCTTCTTGAAGTTCATTAATCCTAAAGTTTTGTTTTTGTTGAAGTTCCTCGACCTCTTCAGTTTGTATTAAATCATTCCCCTCTAACTTTGACTGCAGCTGTTGAAGCTCTGTATTTGCTTTACTTAATTGCCTTGCTACTTCGTTCTTTGATTCAGTTTCTTCTTCCACATTTCTTGCTGTCTCTTCTGCCTTCAACTGAAGGTGCTTAACTTGTGCATTTAAATTTTGACGCTCACGAACTTCATCTTCAAGCATTCGTTTGGCTCCGTCTAATTCACCATTAATTTGGGCTTTCATACGCTGCAAGTTTTCCAGATGTTCATTCTGTTCTTCTGCTTGGTGTGTTAACCTTTTATTTTCACCAATTAGTTGTTTACGAGTTCTCATGCACTCCTCTAATTGTTTGGACTGTTCTTCCGTCTTCAACTGGATGTGGGCTAATTGCTCCTCAAGCTGCTTCACCATTCTTTCATTACTTGCTTTCGCGACACTTTCATTGCTTAGCTGTTCGGAGATGTTTTCAATTTCGTGAAGGAACTGGAAGAATTAAGCGTTCAGAAAAATGCGAAGATAAAAATTAATTTGTTCTGCATTGAATCTTCAAAAATTTTTAACTTTGCTTAAATTAATTCTTTTCAAAAAGTGACAGAAAGTTTTATTACTGTACAACTCGCCCACTTTTTTTTGCCCCATCATAGTATCGCACTACTGTGGAAAATTTGTAAGCAATTTAATCCTACGAAACCAAAGTCAGTTTTTTTTCTCCAATTGAGAAATAAAACTATTATATACCGTTTATTTTTGAGTTTCTTGACGCTTTCAACTTCAAATAGAAAGAAAACGACAAACCTTGTCTCGCTTTTTCTCAACTTTTTCTCGCTGTTTTTCAATCTGGGAATGTTGGTCATTCAGTTCAGCGATTGCATCACCATGTTTCTTTCTTAACGCATTGATTTGTTGTTCGTAAGCAATGTGTGTTTCTTCAATGTGCCGTCTGAGCTTGGCTACTTCAGCCTCACGCTTCTTATTCATCTCGATTTGAGTTTCCGTTGCACTTCCTTGCTCATCCAGTCGTTCTTGCATCTCTTCAAGTTCTCGTTGTAAATCGCCTTTAGCACTATCAGCTTTTGATTTGGATTCTCGGACACTGTCGATTTCTTCCTCCAGTTCCGTTGCTTGAATTTGCAGTTTTTCAATTTGACGTTGAAGCTTCTTAGTCAAGGTTTGTTCATCCTCAAGTCGGCTAGACAAAGTAGTCAGTTCTACTAATTTCCGTTTTAAACCATTTTCAATGTCATGTTTTTGACGAATGATTTCTTCACGATTTTCGTTTGCAATTTTGATTTCACCTTCCATTTTTCGTTTGGTTTTTTCAGCATCAGCTTTAGCGTGTCGCTCACGGTCTAATTTTTCTGTAATGTCTGTCATAGATTGTTCAAGCTTTGCTTTAATCTTGTCAATGCTATTGTTTTTGTCTTCTTGCTCTTGAACACTTTGAAGTAATTTTTTGTTTCTGTCCTGCTGATAGCTAATCTCCTTACTCAGTTTTTTAACAACTTCGCTTTGTTGCTGCATTTCGTCCTCTAATGATTGTGATTGGTATTCTTTAGACTGTTTTTCAGTGTCTGCTTTTCTTATCGTTATTTCCAGTTCCGAGAGTTTTCTTTTTAGGCTGTCAGCTGCATTTTCTAAATTTCTTTTTTCTTTCATTAAGGTCTGTTGCTCATCTTCGGCACGAAGTAGAGTGTCATTTACATCCTGCAGAAATCATCATATTATGTTCAATTACAATACTTTCTCTTAAATTTTTTTAATTTACAATTATTTCTCTTAGTTTATCAACCAGTATTGACTAAAAACTACTTTTTTACGCTTTTCTGAAACACAGAAAATTATTTTTGATATAATTTAAGTTCAAAATATCAAAAATAAGACGTAAAAAACTATGAGTGACCTGAAGAGCCTTGTCATTTTCATCTTTGTTAAAACCTTCAGCACTTAGACGATCTTCTATGTCATTAGTTTTGCTTTTAACATCGTTTAGCTCAGATATGAGCGAATTTCTCTCAGATTCTATCTGTTCTTGTTGAGCTTTTAGCTTTGCTCGTTCTTCCGTTTCTTTGCCTAATTTTTCATCCAACTCGGCAACCTTTTGGTTCAATTTTTCCATCGCTTCCGCTACTTTTCCTTCTCGTAGCATTGGTCTTACTTTACAGTACAGTTTAAACCAATCCCACATACGTAGTGAGCACCAGACTCGGATAGAGCGTTGTAGGATTAATAGACCAACTCTTTGCTCTTCCCTACGTCTCTTGTCTGTTAAAGCGACGTAAGAACGTATGTAAGCTTGTAGCTGAGTAAGCAATATGCGCAATGTTTCGTCTCGAACATCTTCAAGATGTGCTAGAACTCCTGCTTTGAAAAATACTTTTGTTTCCCCAATACGGAAATTTTCTTCGGTAAGAATACCTTTTTCAACAAGCTTCGAAAGTATTGCTTCAGAGCATTTTTTCGCTTCGTTCGAACTTTTAGATTCTTCTGCAGCAAGTATTGAGTACCACTGCTTAAAATCTGGGTAAAGTTGTCTGAAAAGTGCGCTAGCAGACTAAATCTGAGACATTTAGACGTTAATGTAAGATAAAATTAATCACCTGTTTGGAAATCCCTTCCGGCAAATTCTGATGCCCTCGAGAACACCATTACATGTTAGTTGGTTAAGCACCAAACCAGCTTCAATAAGGCCAGATGTCTTTTTCTCGTTAGGAATAATACAGCGAATGAAGTGAGGATGAGTCATGTTCAGCATATTCATTAATTTGTTTAGGGATTCTCTGTACAGCATAGATACGGTTAAGAAAGAGCCTGATTTCCCCTTTTTTCTGCTCCCTCCATCTGCAAGGAATTACAGTGAAAACTATTTCAGGCAAAAATTAAACGTATTAATAACGTTGTTTGTTAAATAAGTACCTTTTGCAGTTGCAGCTGCCTCTTCTTGCGTTACGTAATCTTTCCATACTTCGACGAGAAGTTTATTTCCTTTTGAAGCCTTCATAACTGTTACACATGTATCGTTGAGAGGATCTTTGTTCTTTTCCAGCCAGTTGGTTACGTTGTATCGCACTGTACCAGCGTAGTGACGCATAGCGAAGTGGGCTTCTCCTTGTTTGCCCTTCGGTGGTTTCGGCTTTTCAAAGTTAGGGTGTTTCCCGAGATGTTGATCAATAAGCTTTTGCGCTAGCGTCAAGTCAGTAGCTTTTGGCACAATGCATTCTTCATCGAGGATGGAAATGATACCAAGCGGCTTCTCAATAAGTTCAATACATGCTTCAAGGTCGAGGCCAAAGTCGATAAAAGTCCACTGAATACCTTCACGAGCGTATTCTTCTTGTTCCAAAACGAACATATGGTGGTTAAAGAACTGCTGCAGCTTTTCATTTACGAAATTGATCCATAGCTGCTCGAAAGAATTGAACTAAATATTGAAAAAGTTCAAAACTGGAAAGCATTATTGTTACTGCGATAATAAACAAAATCTTATATTTTTAAACACATCTTTCGCTGGAAAACTTACGTCAAAGATTTCAAAACCAGCAATGTCCAGTACTCCAATGAAATAATCGCGTGAGACTCCCTTTTGGTCCAATGTCATATTGCACTTTTTCACTAACCAGTTGAATATTCGTGCGTACAGACCTTTTGCCATAGCACCGACAGCCCAGTTTACTTGCTCAAGATTCTGACCTTTTGCCACCCACTCTGTTCCTACCTTTACGCGAGGTCGAGTCAGTGCCTTTAAGAATTCTTCATGGTTTACGCCAAACATTGCTGCTGCTTTCTCGGCTTCATCTGTGCCGTCAGGTTCAGCCTGTTCTTCACGTGGTCGTTGTTTAAATTTCATGTTACCCATATGCATAATTGCAGACATTAACTTGTAACAATTTAATTTCTCTTCGGGCTTGAAATGCAGTATGTCGAATGCTTCATCGGTTAGCTGATGCTCTTCTTGGTCATTTACTCCATCGATAGTCAGTTCTGCTTGGGCAACAAAATAGTAATCCTTGAGTGCTTTGTCCAACAGTAACTCCTTTTTTAACTCTGGCAAATAGTTTGAATAGAGCTGGTAGAAAATGTGGTAGCATCGTTCACCTGGTGCTTGTCGAATCACGCGCGACTTTTCAAGAAGATCTAAAACTGTGCAGGTACAATGAAAAAGCTGTATTTCTTGTTCATGGTTAATGTATGATTTTATTTTTGCATTTGGTTCTGCAAATCTGTTTTGGTTTTTTTTTTTGGTAAGTCTTCATACTTGCCATGATCTGATTTTATCTCATTTCACTATAATTACTCATGAGGAACAGCAGCAGCGCCATTTATATTGCATATTATCTGGATAATCTGAACTTTAAATTCACTTACAGTGTTCAATGTCACATGATGCCACACGTCCTTGTTTTGAAAAATGTATTCGAATGAACTTTCCGAAACGTGACGAGTTGTTATTCCTGACCGTTCGAGCGTTACCAAAGGCTTCAAGAACAGGATTAGTTTGGACAATTTGATCCTCTAGAGTAACTTTCTTTTTGCCCGTATCAGCATCTCCTGCACTGGTCTCTTGTTGCGAAGCTCCAACAGCAGCAAAATAAGCGATTACCTGGAATCGTTGGAGTGCATTTAGAACATTCTTTTACAAATTAATTGGGCTGTCTACGTTTACAACAGTTTAAATGCTTCTTTTTCCAGCTGCAAAGGCACAGCGATTGTGAGTGTCTCTAACTTTTATTCCAAGGTTTTTAAGCTAAAAAAACTCGAGACAAAAGGAATGTTCTTACTTATTTTTACATAAGAAAAGTTAATTAGTGTGTATTCACCTCTCGTTTAATATAGAATTATTGGCTCACTTTTAAACTGTTGCGACTTTTGGTGCACTGTAAACTGTTTTCTTGTAGGGACTCATCAAACTTCTTTTTCAAAAGGTTTTTAATGAAGAAAATAAAACGAGTACTTTTTTAGTATTTTCAGTTTTTCCGGCACCGGATTCACCCGTAATAAGCATAGACTGATTTTCATGATCTAGGAGCATATTGCGATAAGCTTCATCTGAAACAGCAAACAAGTGTGGCGGCATTTCAGTTTTACGCTTTCCCATGTACATTCGAGCGACTGAATCTGTATAGATTGGCAATCTTTTGTATGGGTTGATTACGACACAGAAGAGGCCGGAATAAGTCTGAAATCAGCAAAACGTGTTTTAGTTCAATTCTTGCGCTGTTGCTTACGGTTGCAATATCATTAGAGCGGTTAAGGGGTTGAAAAATTTACATATATAAGCATTGCACTATAGCGAGCGCGAAGATTATGCAACACTGATGCGTCGTTCAGAAAAGTCAAATGTGACATATCTTCGACCTTTTCAAATTTTGGTGGATTCATTTCTTGTATCATTTCTTTTTTGACTGTTATCTGTAAAAGTAATTGCAATTAATCATTTTACTATGGACAATTCAATTGTTTTTCTGCTGCATCTTGCACTGTGTACTTTCTCTAATACGATTTTTTGCTTTTGATATTAATATTATGTTCGTGAACGAAATCTGCCTATTGATTCTGAACAAGATACTTTTCAATCTTCCCCTTTTATGAGTTATGAAGAGTTAACCTCATTTCCTTTGGAAGTGTAAACCGTGACCATATTGTCTTTAGCGCTCTGTACTTCAGCATCAATATAGCCTTCTTCAACGTCTGGAATCCAAACATTCTTTTTTGAATCATACGGTTTTGATTGATCCTGTTAATAACTGATGCGTAATTAAGTAGTCATTGTTGAAGGTAGTAACTTTTTTTTCATTATCTTTTAGATGTGATAATAAATACTGCAAAAATATATATATATTTTTTTGTCGATGACGTAGTGTGGTGTATTGCTGAGTTTTTTGCCTCTTATAAGGAAATTAAGCACTATTTATTACGGCAATATTGATGGGGTTTTTCAAGAAGTTGTTTGAAAAACAAAAGATGCTAATGGGGCACAAATGAGATAGCAGTTGAAGAAATTGTAGTTCTGCAAAAATTCTTTCAAAAATTCTGTTTCGGCACTCTTCTTCTTCTACGACAGTATTTTTGTGAGTCTGATGTATCAAAGTTCACTGCCAAAACCAAAAACTTTCGGAAGCAGAAAAAAAATTAACAGAAAAAGAGTACTTTGGAGAATGCTTAACTGATCAACATATGTCGGTAAACAGAGTTAAGAAATATTTTTTCACCAGATTAATGGAAACGTAAAATAAATAAATGATTACTTTTTAAAGAATTGATTTGTTACGGCAGTGTACACTCTGTAATAAAAAAATCAAATCAAAAGGTAAAGTATGTTCATGTTCTGTCTTGGGAGATCGTCCCTGTTTTTTTTACTAATCCGTTTACTTTATTTTTAAATTTAACTATTTTTTCTGCATTTGTTAGTTTAATTAACGTATTGAATTGAAATGAAAAAAAAAATGACCAAGATAATACACTGTTTAGAAAGAAAGATAAGAAGATTTTTTTCTTATTGCATGTCTCTGTTTAAAATTTTCTTTAAAAAAAGCAACAGTTTTTGGTTTGTCAGAAAAAGGCAGAAATATGTCAAGACGACATTCTTTGTTTTTTGGCTATTTTTAATGAGTCTGTACAAAAAAATCACATTTCAATTGAAAGAGTCATTTTCTCTGTTGAAGAGTGACTTTCAACATCATCAAAGTAGATTCTGAGCACTAGTTAAATAAAAGTTTATTCCTGGCATAAAAACTAATAATCTAAAGACTTTTCAGCTTTTTTGCTTTTTTAACAGTTTGACTTCTAATTTTCTTTAACAATAATAAAAGCAAATAGTAATCTAAAGAGGCGATAGTTAGACTATAAGCGAAATATGCTAAACCACTGTATTAAAGTTTTTGAACTATTTTCAGAGTTACCGAAGCTGCATAAAATGTGGCATCATTGTGCTTAAAAATGACTCTATCGTATTTTGCAAATGATTCTTTTCCCAAGATCGCCATGATTAGATGCTTCAATCTTTCAGATTTTATCTTTGGATTAGTCCTTAAGTTAGTTTCAAGAAGCTCATTTTAAGACGACATTTTCTACTTTTTTGAAGCACTGTCTATCATTTCTCGTAACATCTTTTTTCTGGTAAGTTCCGGTTTGTTGATAAAAGTTACACCAGAACTTCACCACTTCTAAAGAGCAAAAGAATCCATTTTTTTCTTCTTTCTTAGCTAGTCTTTATAAGCTTTTTTTCAAACGTTATAAGTAATAAGCAACTCAGTTTCTATAATTTGAGGGATTCCCATTACGATAGAGCGACCAATTTCCAACCTTTTATTCTTACCTTTTATATATATATATACTCATATACAATCATGGGTATGTCTCTTTGTTGGTAAAATCAGGGAATTTCTTTTGTTATTTTAGCATTGCACAGTCAGCTTCCTTCTCTTTTCAGAATCGCTCTCATTAAATTTTTCAAATTTACTGTCATGCAGGTCTACATACTAGAAAATCCGCATCATTATAATTCAGATGTTTCTTGTAACTTCAGTCATATTTTTTTTCGATAACGCTTTTACAGCAAACAACGAAGCATATGCAGCTTTCAGGCAGTCGTATAGAAAATACCATAATATAAAGTGGTCTTGTGTACCGAGGAAGAACGAAAAGCTTATAGCGGCCCCGCACAAAAAGCCCCTGTTTGAGGGACTTGAAGAAAACAAATTGTGTTCAAGTTTAAGTAAGGTTAAAATGAAGACCTAACAGACAGTTGATTAATGCTCACTTATTAAGGATTAGACACGAAAAAATTAAGACAAGAGGAAACAGACGAAAGGAAGCAAAATGAATTTTTTTGTTGTTATTATTTTCAAAAATAGTTGAAACTTCTTTGAGAATCGGTTCAATTTTTCTTTTGAAACTTTCAAAAATTTATTTGTAAATTTTAGAATAATAATTTTGGACAATGCCTAAATTTATTTTGTTGAAATTCTTTAAAACAATTACAGTATGGAAAATATCTATTTGTTTTTTTCTATTTTTCTTTAGTATTTTTTTCCAAAGCATAGTCAAACTCGCCAAAACAACAGTCTGAATGTTAAAATTTAAAGAATATATATTACTGCTTATCGCATTACTGTAACATTGCTGCCAGTATACAAGGCTAAGCTACTGTTATTCAGAATACAAAAATGGTATGTTTTTTGCTAATCCAGCAGGTTAGGATACTACAGGAAAAAAAGTTGTTTATACAACGACACTTTGAATGATAGAACTACTCTATGTTTATGCAGAAATTACAGTATGCAAAAAAATGTAAAACTTTGCAGCTCAATATTAATTGAATGCAACAAGGATTAGTTAACAAACAATTTTTTGATCAACAATACTTCACACTGTTCAAGATCTACAATAACAACCAACTACTAAGATTATTATTAAAGTTGGACTATCAAAATCATTACCTTAAAAAAAAGTACAACGTTTAAATCTGCGACGATTTTATCAACAAAAAACAATTAGCATGTGCTGAAGACTGTAGGGTATAACAGTTACGCAGAGAATTGTATAGTTAACCGTCAATCAAAAATCCAGCTACTTTGTTACCATATAACTAGACTATAGAGTTGTTCAAAAATGAGGTTAATAGTTAACAAAAAAAAAAAAAATTTGTTCTTGTTTATAATAAACATAAAAAATAATTGATAAGAAGCAAAGAAAATTATTTACAGCAAGCATTTGGTCGTAACTTTGGCGTAAATACTGCCATCCTGGATCATTCTCGAAGTCAACCATTGTTTGCTAAATGCAGTTAAAATTTAGCAAAAAATTCTATTTCAATTTTTATAGGAACAGCACCGACAGCAAAAATACCAGAAACAATAAGACTGAGAGAAGTTCTTGTAACAGTTCGGAAGTCCAGAATTCTGAAGCTGTTTACAATGAAGAACAATGTAATTAGGCAGACTTGGCTGCACAAAATCTTAAATTTATGTAGACAAGTTGGCTTTCTAATATGGCATATAAAAGTTGGAGAAAGCAGTTGCAATAATATTATATAAATTTTTTTGAAGAAATCGTTTATCTATTTATTTATTCTCTTCTTTTTCCCCTTCTTTCCCCTCTTTTCCCTCCTTCAATTTACTGCTCCTCCCAAAAGTCGTTACTTCTAATGAAGAAACAGTAATTTTTGAAGAGAATGTGCTTAATCAGAAAAAAAAAAACTGGAGTGAGTGAGTTAGAAAAAGCTAAATAAAAGAGTCAAAAATTTTTAAACTACAAATAATTGCTGTTTACATAAAAGTTTTGAAAATCAATTTAATCTTAGAATAAAAAAAAAGAAAAAAAAATTAGCTTGAAATATTTTTGTTTTCATAACTTTTTTTTTGTCTTCTTTTTACTGTTTTTTATCTTTCTACCGCTTCCTTAGCTTTTTCTTTTTTTTTTTATAAATTAATTGAAGGAAATAATATCTTCTGTTACAATTTATTTCATTTAACAGTTTTATTCAGTTTTTATCTATTTTCCTCTATTGAAAACTGTAAGAAGCAATAAATATGTTTTATAAAAATTTAGAGCAAAAAAGAAAAAAAAAAGAAGAAAATCTTTGATACATCTCATATAGTTGAAAATAAATAGCAGTGAAGACAGTAGCGCTGAATTAAATACGTAAATAAAACAGCAACATATAAATGCAGAAAGATCGCATAACAGCAACTTCACTTTTCCTGAATCTTTTTTCGCATACATCCAAAGTTTTGTTCAGCTGCCATTTTTGTCTTATCTATTTTAGTCTTTTAGACGTATTCAGTTAACAGTATAAAGCTTAGCTATTTGACAACAAAACATTTATTTGCTGCTAATTTTTGACTTTTTCTTTTTATGCTTAATTTATAAAAAAATTTTTTATCAATATCAACTGAATTTATGCATAAAAATAAACTGTGAAAAGAAAGAAAAATTATATTGGATATATTAGTTAATATTGGAAGATAAAATTTAATTTGACAAAACAAAAAAAAAAATTTTTTTTTTTGCTATTCTGTTTTTTTGTATTTCTATTTTCTTCAAAATTATCATACGTTTTTTTGCTTTTTTTTGATATTCAAATGGCACTAATTGATTGTGTTTGATAGAGTGCTGCAACAGAATGATCAATCAAAATTTTCATTGCTTTTCCCAACAGAAGTGTTAAACTTTATTGTAACACAGTGTGTCACGTAAAATTTGAAAAAAAAAAAAGAAAAACATTTTTAGATTATTCTAAGCAAAAAAAAAAAAACATTTAGTTTATATTTAATTGACATTATTTAGCTTAAAATAAGAGAGCTAAGCTTTTAAGCTGTTACCGTAGCGTAGAAATTAGGTAAAAAAAAATTAAACCAATAAAATTTTTTTGTTCTTCTTTTTTTTTTTTGCATTGATAAATTTTTAGTTTTGTTGCAACCCTTTAATGCAATAAAATAAAGTAACAAAAAAAAAAATAAAAACTGATCTGAAAAAATTATTTTAATGTTTATCTATTATCTCCGACTTTATAGCAATGAAAATAATATATTCTGTGATCGGCAATGAAAAAAATTTTTTTGGAAAAAAAAAATTAT